TTAAAAATCAAAATTTTTGCATAAATTTCACTGTGGAACATAAAAATGACTGTAGTAACGGTAAGAAATGTATACAACTTAATGGACCGAAACATTTCTTACCTACTCTAAAAATTCTTCTCATTTTTTCCATTATCCTTTCTTTCTTTTTTTTCATCATCCTTTCTTATATTTTTCCATCATATTTCTTATATTTCTCTTTTAACCTTAAATTGGGAGAAAGGAGTATTTTTTCTGATTTCCCCAAATTAATCGAAGCAATTTCACGCCAAATGAATTTGCGAAACGCAAAAAAACTAAGCCGTTTGTAGCATCCATGTTGATGGGTGCCAAAGTAAGGAAAGTGTATAAAAAGAGGAAAAACAGTAGGGAAAATTTTCCCTAATTTTCTCATTGAAAAATTAAACTGTTAAAGGCTGTAGCTTTAGATGTTAAATGACATAGATTCCGATCCAATAGAATTCCTATAAATTACGATTCAAAATTAGAAGTGAATCTGCTGGATATCAAAGAAAATCATTTTAAAAAAAGTGGTAATAAACCTCAGTTTCATCTTCCGCTTCAATAATTTCGCCTTTTTTGGATTCAAGATTCGAATCGGAATTGATCACTACAATTCGAGCTTTGCCATCAGCACCCTGGAATGTACAAGAACGCCCACCACCTTGTTTTTTTTTTCTTGCCAAAATGATGTTTTTTCGCAGAAAAAAAAAGACAAAACTAAATATTTCGCACATAAAAAGTTATTTTATCAGCATAAATCTCGAGGAAGTTAATTTTTGTACGGCCTAGCTTTACTTATTTTTTTTTGGTTTCCCAGTTTTTAAACCCTGAGGGAAAACGAGGGGGAAGACGGGGGTGGAGGGGAGAGGGGGACGGGGATGCTTTACTGATATATAACTTAAAAAGCACAACAACATACAAATATAATACAGAATCATATTCCACTCACAGCACTGAAAGTAGAACAGCACTTCAAAGAAAACTAATTTTTGGGAACATTTCAGAGAAAACTGATTTTTTTCAAAGGCTAAAAAATAATCCATACCTGATCAGAGCCATACTTCGTTGCTCGGACTTCCTTGTTGACCTCAGACATGAATGCATCCAGTGGGTCGATCTCATCATCCGCCTCATCATTTGTCGGTTGTTCTTTCCTGCAAACTCACTGCTTTTTTTTGGAATTTATGGAGAAAAGCTATCCACATGTAACCTCAAACTGCTACACACACTGCTAAACACTCCAAAATCTAGCTTAGATATATGCCTAGTAATAATATAAAACTTTCAAAGATTCCGGGCTTTCGACGCAAAAATACAAAAAAGCTCTAAGTGCAACAAATCATGTACGCCGGGAGCAGGCCGGGGGCGGAGGGGGGGGAGGGGAGGGGGAGCAAAGAGGGAAGAGGAGAGGAAAAGTGGAAGAGGGGGAAAGAGGGGGGGGGGGGGGGGGGGGGGGG